CATTCTTGGCAGAGCGAACCCGAGGATACGCTATGCCTGTTGGATACAGGGTTGTATGGTGAGATGCCTGGGCGCCTGCCCTCAACCCAATGCGGCAGTACGCATGGCCATGTCGGTGTTGTTGAGCTCGGGCTCAACGGGTCCTGCTGCTGGTGGTGGTGGTGGTGGTGGAGGAGGAGGAGGAGGATCTAGTTGCAGGGGCTCCTCGTTCCGGCTGTAGATCGACAGGCGGTTCAGAAAACTGCTGCCGGCAGTGGACGGTGCGCGGCTGATGGGGCGAGACGGTGCCGCAGACGGGGTCGCCGAGGTCGTTGGCGAAGAGGCGGTCACAAAGGTGAAGGGGGCGAGGAGCTTGTCAAAGGTGGCTTTGGTGAGAGAATCCCGCTTCGATGCGCGCTTCTGCTTGGCGGCGTCCTTCGCAGCTTCTCTGGCCGCTTCTCTGGCAGCCTCCTTGGCCTCTTTCTGCTGCCTCTTCTCCTCGAGTTTCCTCTTGGCCTCCTCCAGTCGTCGTTTGTCCTCGGCGATTTTCCTCTTCTTCTTGGCTGACGGCTCAGGTTTCGGCCTCAACTCGGCGGGGACGAAGCCTGGCGGATAGGAGACGATGTGGATGGCACGGGTGCGGTGCTGCCGGGGGCGGATCGGAGGGTTGGGCAGCACAATCTGTGAAGTGGCGGCGGGGGCGAGGTGGCTCGGACAGTAAAAGACACTGCCAGAGGTTGATGCGCTGATCCAGTTATCGGGTCGGCGTGCTCGTCGTGTGTCTATCATGGCGGTGGGTTAGAGTGGATGAAGGGTTGAGGAGAAACACGAGGGCACAGTGATAAGCATATAGAGGTGTTATGTGCTTGCGTGATCGACGTCGTTGCCGTCTCGTCGTCACTCAAGGAGAGCAAAGCAAAAAAGTGTGTCGATCGAGAAGCCAAGCAAGAAGAACACGAGAAGGCGGCAGGTAGTTCAAGTAGTGGGCAGCATCCCCAGACTTTTTGCCCGCACTGAGAAGCATGGATCATGGAGAAACGATAGAGGCTAGACAAGGGGATTGGGCGACAACAACAAGTGATTGGCATTAGGTTGGGTTATGCGCTGGCAGTAGGGAAGTGACGGTATCCACAGGATCCAGGGGGCCCAAAAGCCGGTTGGAGGATTTGCTGTGCGCGGGAGGCCAGGCCAGATCCCAAGGGGAATAGGAGGAGGAGGGGGGGTGAGATGACAGGGAAGGGGGTTGATGAGGTTTGGGCCCAGGAACAGGGTTGGGGGTGTTCGTGATGTGCGGTGTTGGGCTCACAGACGCTCAGGTGTTGGACCGGCGCGATTGCGGGCGGTGGGTGCGAAGGTGAGGCGAGGCGGCGGTGGCAGCGGATTGACATGATGGGACGGACCCTGAGGAGACAAGGCAGTCCACGATTCACGGTCGACGATCCACGGTCCACGGTCCACGGTCCACTCGGTCCAAGCAGCCCTGAGAGGTGCGGTGAAGGGGGGGGGGGAAATGTGCCAACCTGGGAAAGGGAACATGTGAGGCGTACGAGGAGGGAGACTGAATCAATAGGGAAAAAGGCGCGCGCGCGCACGTACCGAAAGTGAATCACATTCCTTGGAAGGGGATGGATGGATGCCAGGGCGACGAAGGGGAGCTGCTCCGAGATGATGGGCGATATGGATGCAAAAGGAGGAGGCGGAGGAGGAGGAGGAGAGACGGAGGGATGGACGATGGCTTCCGACTTTTGGTCCAGATGACTGTGGTCTTTGATGGCGGAATGGTCGGATGTTGCACTGAACGCGACTCGTGATGGCAACTATGGCGGTGTCAGGCTGGCTGAGTCGACAGAACAACAGGCATAAGGTCAAGGCGGATGGGGGGTTTTTTTTTTTTTGGCTTTGGTGTCTCAGGGCTCAGGGTCACCAGCGAGAAGTCGCGGTGAACAAGATGAGCATGCGACTCGATTACTCGACTCGGTGACGATGTGCAGACTGAAAGAGAGAGCAGTGGCAGAGGAGGGGGAGGGGGGGGGGAGGGTGGACAGAGTGTGGGGGGAGGGGGCGTGTGGGCAGTTTGAGCGTGAGCGGCGGCGGTGCCTGCTCTCGATTGCTTTGCCTTACCTCGAAGTGAGTGGTTGCTTCCCAAATTGTATGTACAGATGTACTGTCGTGTGAAAGGGATAGCAATTTCCGATCGTTGACGACGTCGAGGGAAGGAGGAAGATGGGCCAGGAAGATGGATCGAGGGAAGGTGGGTTGTGTTGTGTTGTGCAATGGCAAGGCGGGCAGAGGAAAGAACGATGACGGGTGTCATGGTATTTTGTTCAATGCTACCCCATTCATTCACTCTCTTACTGGCAGACAGAGACAGACTGGAGACGGCAGACAGGCCAAGCGGAATTTACAAGAGCAAAGAGCAAGCTGCCAAACAAAGTACAGGAGACCCCGGTTCGGGATGGAGAGATCTGGGTTGTTTGATGATTGATGATCAGCCCAAGTAGGCACTATGACGTTGGGACGCAGCAGCCCAGAGTGGCTCCCCCCAAGCCCCCCCTAGCTAGTGCCAGGTTGAGTATATGTAAGCGCTATGGCCTTCCGTCAGTGGACGAGGCCCTGTCTTCGCAGCGGAGCGATGGGGGGATGCTGGCAGCGGCGGCGGGGATGAGGTGGGGATGCATTCGTGGCCCTTGGCGCCAGAGGCACAGGTTCTGTCAAGTGCTGGCAATGCACGACACCTCCAAGCCTCCAAGACGTTGGCCTCGCAGGCATCATGTTCCTCCTCTTCTCTCCTGCCGACCTCAACAGGAGCCTTCCCCCGCTATACGATCCTGTACCAGCGGGGCAAGCAATTTACGTCGAAGA